CCCGCCCTGACAATTTGATTGGATCGCCTGACAGTGGGCGATAATACTCGCGCTACTATGGAGCAGAGCCAGACCGAACTTCCCGACCTCAAACTTTGTGGGCGGGACTAAGTTCGGAATGGCACCCAGGCTATTAAATAACCATTACATGATGCATATTCGTTAATTTTATCCATCCATTTCTATCATGCTTATTCCTGCTGGGGTCGCAAGGGGTGTTGGTCCCTATCTCCAGCTGTCTACGGGTGAGAGGCGGGGTCCACCCTGGACAGGTCGCCAGTCCAACACAGGAGAACGCAGAGACAAAAAGGACAAACAGCCATTCACACCTAAGGAGAATTTAGAGAAGCCAATTAACCTAACAGTCCTGTTTTTAGACAGTGGGAGGAAGCCAGAGTACCCGGAGAGAACCCACACATGCTAAAGGAGAACATGCAAACTCCATTCAGAAAATATTGGTAAGTAAGTAAGTTGAGAAAAGTAAGTAAAAAAAAAAAGTAAGTGAATTAACAGAAGCGCCGGCTAGGCGTCCTACGTCGTCGTCCATACTACGTTGTCACACATGGCTGCAAGGCAACAGTGCTTCCCACTGCGTCGCCTATTAATTTTATATTATTCAAAATACAGAAATTTGAGGTTTTTGTATGTTAGAATAATTGTATATAAATGTATCTGTGTAGTGTTATCATGCATAAAGCTGTGTGTTTTCATAGCCACCTTTTCTAAAGTATACTGTGATTTTTGGATTTGCTTTTCGGGAGGTTGTGGTTGATCTACGAGCAGCACCGACCTGCTGAACTTTGGTGAGCAGCTTCAACAGCTTAAAGTTTGACTGAAACCTGAGATTTAGAGGACATGTTTACTGAGACTGGAAGTCTGAGTTCCTTATGTGCCCCCCCCCCAGTGTAGTCTCAGCTGGGACCACAAATTTCAATAAATAGCGAGCAGAACGCTGGGACTGCAGAGTGGGTTGGAGATTGTAAACTCCGCAGTCTCTTCCAACTCTCCTCGCGAGTAAAACTAAATTAATTGTCTCTGTGCCTTCCTTTTTTCCCCCCTGTATCTATGTATGATGTTTTAGGTGCACACTGGAAAATATCTAAATCTAGATAAGTTATTTTTTCTTGAAATAAGTGCATTTGTTCTTGAATTGAGGAGGTAAAAAAGGTATTTTGCCAATGGAACAATACAATTTACTCTTAGAATAAGAAAGCACAATTGGATTGTCTTATTTCAAGTGCATGTTATCTAATTATCTTATTTTAAGAGTAAAAATACTAATACCATTGGCAAACTATCTCATTTACCTACTCAAATTAAGGGTAAATACACTTAATTTAAGACATTTTCACTTATTTCTAGATCGTTTTTCCAGTGGACAATGTATTTAGAATTAATAGTGTATACTTACTCAAAATTAATACTAATTAGTGTGTTTTTCTCAAACAATAATGCTTATTTGTTTAAATTGCATAATAATCAGGTTGCGTTTATACAATTCAAACAATGCACTATGTATTTGCAGTAAATACACTCAGTGTTAGTGTTGAGTAAATATTCTTTACTAAAAGTAAACACGTAAAACTGATAATTATGTATTTATAATGTGTACACTATCATACAAATGAATATGGATCATGTAAGGTTTATTTAATAATTTTATGTTAAAATTATCTAAAATTATTTCATTTGAAAGGTTTCATGTAATAAATTCCCATACATCTTCAAATTTGGGTGAAATATTTCTGTGAGTGATAAAAGACAAACATGTAGGTGCTGGAGCCCTAAATCCAGCCATAAATGTTGCTGCGGTTTCCTTTGGGACGTATAAAATCAATCCGGTCTGGTCTCCTAAACTCGCAGTGGTGACAAGAAGTAACACATGCAAAACCCTTAGTGAAATAGGCAGGTCTGCACCACTGCTGCACCTGTTGTTCATTGATATATGCAGTCTTAAGGCCTTGTTTATTCTCCCGCAGCAGTGTGTCGCAGTGAGCTTGTCGCAGAAATTTCTGATTTATGCCACATATTGAAGCATGGTCTGTGCTATGTTATTTCACGCCACAATGCATATCTGCATTAACTGCGACACACACGCAGACAACCTGGTTTTTGAGTATAAATCAGCCTTAAGTTGATCCCTTGTAGCCTTCCCAGCAGTTGTATGTTTTTTTTTGTTGTTGTTGTTTTTATTTACACAAGCCAATCAGATAATTTGTTTGAGATCTGAGTAGATAAGGCCTTTAGTGTTTATATATACAAATACACTCACCGGCCACTTTATTAGGTACACATGTCCAACTACTCGTTAACACTTAATTTTTAAGCAGCCAATCACATGGCAGCAACTCAGTGCATTTAGGCATGTAGACATGGTCAAGATAATCTCCTGCAGTTCAAACCGAGCATCAGTATGGGGAAGAAAGGTGATTTGAGTCACTTTAAATGTGGCCTGAATGTTGGCGCCAGAAGGGTTGGTCTTAGTATTTCAGAAACTGCTGAT